AAGTGAGCGTTTCCCTCGAGGCGTCTTGGCAGAGAGAAGCCTCGGGAAGAGGTTGGGGCACATCCTCCCGGGCCGCTGCCATTTCTCCTCCTGTACACCCTGCTATGTGACCGCAGTGGCTGTCTCCAGCCTCCCCCTCAGCAGCGGCACGGCCCCCGCACTGCCGCCTCCCTTCACTGGACAAACACCCACCCCACTGCGCGCCAGGCGCTGTCCTGGTGCCCAGGATGGAGCAGAGAACAAAGCCGTCGCTTGCCCTTAAGGCCTCCCTCTCCCCAGGGCTGTCAGCAGGCCGCTCCCAACACCTTCCTGGAACACACCGGGGGCAGGACCATCTTGTTCCTGTACCTTTGCACACATATGGGTGTTGTTTTTTTTTTTTTAAGATTTATTTATTTATTTGAAAGTCAGAGTTATACAGAGAGGAGAGGCAGAGAGAGAGAGATTGATTCCATCTGGTGGTTCACTCCCCAAATGCCCACAACAGCTGGGCAGGGCTAAACTGAAGCCAGGAGCCCGAAGCTCAGTCTACATCTCCCACATGGGTGGCAGGGATCCGAGCACTTTGGCCATCCCCCGGTGTGCATTAGCAGGAAGCTGGAATCAGACGCGGAGCTGGCACTCAGGCCTAGGCACTGACACGCATGTGGCCATCTCACGTGCTGTCTTAGCTGCTGCGTCAAACACCCACCCCAGCTCTCAAGATTTTCTGCACCGAAGTAAACGTCTCTGTCAATCCCATGTCCCATGGACTTCTTGACGTCCCCTGTGACATCCATGCATCCCTCACACTCCTCTGACAACCACGTATGGAGCACTGGGCAGGCCCTGGATGGGACTTGGGAACCCCTTGGGAGGGGTCTGACCCGGGGCAGCTCCTGCTCCCGTGGGAGGCAGAGCTAAGCAGCAGCGTCTCAGGTTTGTCCTGGGACAGGTGAGGGTGAGGATCTCTAACGTGCTCCCACTTTCTCCAGCTGTGATCCCGCCCTGGGGGCTAGAGTCTGTTTTTGCTCTTGTTTTTCGCTAAGATTGATTTATGTATTTGAAAGGCAGAGTGAGAGCGAGAGCGAGAGAGAGAGGGAGATCTTCCATCTGCTAGTTCACTCCCTAGAGTGAACTGCTGGCCACAACAGCCTTGGCCAGGCCAAAGCCAGGAGCTGGAACTCAGTCTGGGTCTCCCACATGGATGGTGAGGGCTCCGGTACTTGGGCCGTCTTCCACCGACTTCCTAAGTGCGTCACCAGGTCGCTGGATAGGAAGTGGAACAGCCGGGACTTGAACCAGCGGCGCTCTGCTCCGCTATGGGGTGGCACTAGTGACGTGGCAAGCGGCGGCTGGCGGCGGCAGTCACGGGGCCTCCCTTCGTTCCCGCATTCCTTCCTCACCCCACATCCAGTGCCTATGCTTGCTTCCCTCCCAGCCTCTTCCCTCTCGTGGCCATCAATCAAATTCAGAACGTGGGGGATAGTCAAAGGCCCGAGGTCCTCCCTGGGTTCTTCAGCTCCGACCACAGCTTTGCGCAACCATGACCTTGGCTCTGCCTGTTCCGCCGGCACCCCCTCTCTGAAAGGCGTCCCCTTCTCCTCTCATTGCTGGGTCCCTGCTCTGAGCCACCAGCGCCTCCTCACCTGTCTGCTGCTGTTGTGGGCCCCTGACAATCAATCCATTGACTGTCACAATGTCACCGCCCTGCTGACAACCTCCAACGGCCTCCCTTTGGGCTTAGAATAAGATCTGAGCTCCTCCCAGGGCCCCGCGCCAATCATTCTCCCTCACCCCCCCTTCTTCTCCAGACCACTGGTCTGAAGTGAAATGTTTGGTATTCGGTTCCTTGTATGCATGGTGGGGCCTCAGGGAGGTAGGCCAGGCCACGCTCTCTCGGGAACCCAGTGCAGGGGTGGGGGTGGCCTGGAGCTCTGGGCTGACCACGCACTCAGAGGCCCACGTCTCGCCGGGCCTGCACCCTTCCCAGGCTCTGCCTCTTGAGGCCCTTGCAACATCTGGAAAGGTTGATATTCTTCCTTCCACCTTACAGGCAAAGCAACGTGGCTCGGAGATGGAAGCGTTTAGGGACTACCCTTTAAGATGCTTTTCCATGCGTGTAAAACTACTCGCGAGGTGTGTGTGACGCAGGTGGTCAAGCACATGTCAGCCAAAGTGCAAACCCAATTCTGTTGGTTCCAGGGCGAGCGGTCCTGGCCGCACCACACTGAGTCCCTTCCCCACTGCCCCGCCACGACTCCTCTGGGTGTCCTGAACCAAGGCCACGGTGCCGGCACTCAGCAGGGCTAGGTTCCTACCACAGGCAGCATCCGGCCACCTGGGAAATGAGGGGAGGGAAACTTCCTGGGTTGCCAGCCCTTAGGCTGCAAGGGAGATAAATACCCCAAGGGAGCTAAGCCTGGCAGCAAGGCCCACCCTACTTCCTGTTGCAGTGCCCTGGGGTTACTCTGGGCCACAGCCCAGGAGCCAGGCAGGCCTGGGGACCTGCTTGGGTGGCTCCCTGCTCCTGGGGCCAGGCAGCCACAGGCCCTTCCCTGCGGAACAGGCCCGGCCGCCGGGATTACTGTGGGGAACTCAGAGAGCGCAGGGCAGCTCAGCCATCTGAGCCTGATCCAAACCCTCTAGACCTCAGCCTCTGCATCTGTACAATGGGGCCCAGGGCAGTGAGTGCTGAGTTGCTATTCTGTTTTCTCCAGTCTGGCGGTGTTTCTAAGGTAGGACAGACAGTGACACAGCTAGGAGGCAGGAGGGCCAGAAGTAGGGGCCCCGGCACCCATCCAGACTCCACTCCCCTCCCCATGTCTGCACCCCTCCCACGCCCAGCCTCATGCTGAGGTCCCGCTGCCTGGACCCTCACTGCAGGCCCCTCGTCCACGTGTTTTCCATTTTCTTCCTCTCCGCGCTACCTGAAGCCAGAACTTTTTTTAGAAAACGGAAAGAAAAAGGACAGGAAGCTAATCTGATCTGGTCCATATGGAGCTCAGGGAGTCGGAGGCCAGATCTGGCCAGATCCAGCCCCTGCGAGCCTTCCAGCCGCTCTCAGATGGCCACCAGGCAGGGGCGCAGGCCACGAGGCCTCTGCCCGGCCCAGGGCTCGCATCTTGCGGGGCCCCCTCCGGTCACTTCTGAGCCCTTCCTCGGGACCTCCCGTGAGCGCCCCCCTACCCCTGTGCGTCCCTGTCTGCCTCCCGCCCTCCTGAGCACCGCGCGGCTGCAGAAGGCAAGCCCGCCAGCTTCCCAGCAGGGCCCAGGGTGGATGGCCCCAAATATCTGGGGACGAGGCACGGGGCGCAAAACGCGGGGGGCCGGCAGGTCTTGGCCCCCCAGCGAGGACTGCCGCAGCTCGGCGAAGCCTTAACAGGCCTTCGGGAACTGCTGGGGGAGACGGAAGTTGGCTCAGTCACAAGGCTGTGCGATGAGCGGCTCCAAGCCACCCCCTCCTCAGTTGAGACCCGGAGTTGGGGGGGGGGGGGCAAGGGGCCGGCTTGGGCCTGCGGCCGCCTCTCTGGACATGACTTTTCTGAGGAAGGGGCCTCTCGGGCCTCAGAGTTCAACGCGCTCAGGGCTGGCGGGACCCTGGCTCCCAAGTCCTTTCTCCTCGTCATTGTTTCTTCTTGCCCCGCTCGCGCGCCCCTCGCCGGCCCGCCAGCGCCGGCTCCCCGCCCCGCGACCTCCCACAGTCTTCCCGGGGCTGCTCCGCCTGCCCCCTCGGCTCCGCCCCGCCCGAGGAGTGGGCCTGGCCGCGCGGCGCACCAATCCGAGAGCCCCGCACCGCCTCGGCCTCCCGGAGACGGATCCGCCCCTACGCAGCCACCCGCCAATCGCGCTCCGCGGCCGGGCCACCCAATCGCGGGCGGGCTGGGCCGCCGGCGCCCCGCCCCTGCCGCGCTCGGCGGCGGCTCGGCGGGTGGCCGCGCAGGGGCCTGGGCATTCTCCGAGCGGCGCGGCGCGGCGCAGCGTCCGGTTCGGGCGGCCGCCTCAGGGGCGCGGGCCGGCGGCGTTGCTGCTCGCGGGGTGCTGGTCTGAGGCGGCGGGCGAGGCAGGCGCCACCGGCCGGGCCGGAGGGCGCTTGGGCTCCGCCGGGGCCCGCAGTGCGGGTCCCAGGACCGAGCAGGAGGCGGCGGCGCCCCCCCCCCCCCGGTGCCTGCCCACAGGAGGTCCGCAGCCGGACGTTGGCGGCCCGCAGCGTTCCCGACGCGCCTCCCGGAGAGGCCCCCAGAGCTCCCGGCCGCCCCTCGGGGGTGCCCGCAGCCTCCCCCCGCCTCACCTGCGCAGGCCGCGGGGCACCCAGGTGCGGGGGCGTGTGCGCGGAGAGGGCGCCACCCCCGGCCGCCAGCGGGGCGGGGGCGGGGCCGGGGCCGCTGCGGCCTCACCGGTCCTCCCGCTGCCCTCAGTCTCACCGGTCCGTCCGCTGCGCCCGGCCGCGCGGCGTGAGCTCCCCGGGGACCGCGGCTCGGGATGCTGCCCGCCCGCGCGGCCCCTGCCTCGCCGCCCGCCCCGCCTGCCCTCGCCTCCGGGGCCGTGCCCCGCTGTTTACATGCCGGTGAAGCCCCCGGCCGCGCCGAGCCCCGCCGAGCCCCGGCGCCCCGAGGGTGAAGCCAGCCGGCCCGCGAACTGGACTGGTCGCTGCGACCTGGGGCTCCGGACTCGGATCGCCGTCCGCTCGGCCGCCCCCGCCACCGTCTGGGCGGGATCCGGCGCTGGTGTTTTGAGGAGGGGGTGTGGTGTAGGGAAAGGAATCCTGGGGATTTCTGGAGCCCCCCTTTTTTGGCCTTCGGGGCTTCAGACTCAGGGAACTCGCTCATGGCTTTCTTGATGAAGAAGAAGAAATTCAAATTCCAAACCACGTTCACCCTGGAGGAGCTGACGGCGGTGCCTTTCGTGAACGGGGTTCTTTTCTGCAAGGTCCGGCTGCTGGATGGCGGGGACTTCGTCAGCTTGTCGTCCAGGTAGGCGCTGGGGCTGCCTCCCTGCAGGGGGGGGGAGCGCGATCCAGCCCCCTGATAAGCGTGGAAAGCCCCCTCCAACTCCTTGGGGCCAGGAGAGTGGGGGGGATTAGTTGTGTCTGGGGCAGGTTTGCACAAGGCAAGACTGGGCCTGAGCAAGCTGGCAGGGCGCCAGGCACTTGGCTGCAGGTGACCAGCCGGCGGCTGGGGCTGGGGGTTCCTTCAGCCCCCTGTTGGGGGTCTGGCGTGCAGCCCACGGTGGGCTTGCTCACAGAGCTGGGTGGGACTGTGCCTGAGCCGGGAGGGAGGAGTGTTGGGTGCTGCCTCGCAGGCCAGCTGGCCACTTTGGGTGCTCGGGGACTTAGAGCCCAGGCCAGCCACAGGTTCCCCCCACCACACACACATCTGGCAGCTGGGAAAGCCAGGTTCTCGGCACTCCCTGGCCAGGCTGCAGGGAGGTGGCCGTGGGCTGGCCCACCCAGCCCCCTGGGAGCCGCTGTCCTCTTTGGGCTGGAGCTGGACTGCTTTGCATTGCGAAGGCCACTGTCAGCGAGGCTGGAGGCTGCTGTCTCTGTCGGAGGCTTGGCAGGGTTGAGTTTTGTGTTCAGTGCCATCCTGACAGGTCCAGCTGCCCAGTGCACGGCAGAGTGCGGCTGCCCCTCGCTGCCTGGGCCCACCGGGGGTCACAGGGCCCTCCTGGCCTGTCTGGAGGGCACCTGGGGTTGAGTCCCGGCTCTGTTACTCTCTGGTTCTGGGAAGTGGGCCTGGCACAGAGCTGAGAAGTTCAGTAGCCGGAGTGCTGTGTGGGCCCATTGGCTGGAGCTGCCCCAGTGATGTGAGATGGGCGTGCATGTGGCAGGTGGGGGAACTGAGGCCCAGAACGAGGAAGTGGCTTGGCGGGAGACCGTTGTCAACTGAGCCTGGCCCGTTGGATGACTGCGGTGGCTGAACGGGGAAGGAAGGACTGGGCCGCACAGCCTGGCCCAGGTAGGACTGTCCTGTGGGCACCTTTCCCGTGCACCGGCTCTGGTTCTGCTGGGAACAGCTCACAGGGCTGCCCCTTGCAGTGGGGCGGTGTCTGTCCTGCGATGCCTGTGGTCTGTGGCTGCCCACACAGGGACCTGGTTTTCAGCGAAGAGCGGGCCCTGGCTGGGTGACTTTGGATGAGCGCCTCACCTCCCTTAATGGCACGCACCAGCGATGACGGGGCTGGCTCCCTGCTGTGCCAGCTGTATCCTCGAGCGGAGGTGGAGGTGGGAGGCCACGAGATTCTTGGTCCCATCCCCCGGATGTGGACACTGAGGCCTGGAGAGGGAGCCATCTGCCAAGATCCAGACTCAGGATGTGCCTTCAACCAGGCTGTCGTGTCTCCGAGCCTCAGTCGCCTCTTCTGTGAAATGGGGGAAGTCCTGCCCGCCCTGGGGCTGTGAGGAGAAAGGGCAGTGCATAGCCATGTCTGCCCGGCAGCAGCTGCAGCAGAGGGCCCACCCCCCAGCTCCTCCCGGGTCTTGGGGTGGTCAGCAGGGGGCCCGTGTGTGAGCTGGGGGTGAAGACAGAGTCCTGATCCCACCGAGGACTTGATGGCGGAGGTCCTGCCTCCCAGCCCCTGGAGCATTGTCACCTGTCAGTCTTTCCATCGCCCTGAGCTGCCCCCGCCTCTGGGAAAGTCTGGGGAGTTCCGGATCTGGGTTCACTGGGTCTGGATTTCACCTCCATTTTCCTGTCTTCCCTCCTGGCAAGGAGCCTTGGATTCCCGAAACCCGCTGAGGCCGAGTGGGCTGGGGACGGGGAGAAGCTGGCGTGGGCTGCCCGCAGGCTGGGCACCTGCTTGCTGCTGGCAGATGTGGCTGGAGAGCGGAGAGTGGAGCCAGGTCAGAGTGGCTGTGGCTTTGGCTCAGAGGTGGGGATTCCTGGGTTCCCACTCCCACCCTGGTCTGCAGCTAGGGCCTCAGCCCGGGCCCCGTTGTTTGCAAGTTGGGGTAGGGTCTGGGCTGCCTGGACCTGACTAGACCCTGGGCCCAGATCCAGATCGGCAGCATCTCCCCCCTCCCTCCCCCCCGCCCAGCCCCAGAGAGCCCTCAGGTGGCCCAGAGGCCTGGCGCTGGCGCATGTAGGCTGTGCCAGAGTGAGCCAGGCCCCAGGCCCCACCCCTGCAGCGCCCGCCCTCCTCACTGGAGTGTTTCCCTGGGTGTTGGGTGCCATGGCAACAGCTGGGTACACAGCTCCACCTGACCCAGTTTGAGCAGGTAGAGCAGGTGGTACGTCGGCTGCTCCTCAGCCTTATCTTTCCGAGGCCTCCCGAGAGACGGTCACCCTCGCGGTCCTGTCCCGAGCACCTGTGCTGTGCGGCAGGCCCCGTGCCGGGTGTTAACAGATGGCATCTCTGTTAATCCTCTCGGCCGCCCAAAGAGGCACTGAGGCCAAGAGGCGAAGATGCACACCGCAGGTCGCCTGGGTGGTGACGGACAACCAGGAAAATTCTGCTTTTATCATGATGGGTTACCGCCCCGTGCGCGTACTGCGTGTGGGAAGTCGAGCCCCTGAGGTGCACTGTCAGCTCCGCCCTGCAGCCTCTCTGGGAGCTGAGGGCGTAGCCTCCGCTTAGAGAAGAGGGCAGATTGGGCCGGTGCCTCTCAGCTGGGTGTAGCACAGCTGTGCTTTGTGGGCAGGTCCGGCTCCAAAGCTCTGTCTGGCCTTGGTGGCAGTGGGTTAGAAGCAGACCATCAGGTGGAGGGGTTGGGGGCCGGGTACAGGCTGGCACAGGGGCACGCTGGGCATTTGCCAAGGTCTCCACCCAGAGGCCTCCCAGGCAGGCGCATGCGAATGGCATCTGGGTCCCGGGAGGGATGCCGAGGTCGCAGCCAAGTCTGCTGAGTGCAGAAACAGCGAGCCAGGCGCAGGCGTCCAGCCCTGAGCCAGCTTGTCCAAGGCGGCCTGCAGGCACGAAGAATCCCAAACATCCCGAGTGGACCCTGCTCCTGCTGGCACCAGTCCTGCGGCCTGCCCTGTGCACGTGGCTGGCCGTGTCTGGGCGGGAAGCACCAGGAGGCGCTGACCCGGCTCACCGTAGGGCCTCACTGAAGGAGAAAGGCGGGAAGCGTCCCCTCGGCCAGTGTGTGGGGAAGCAGGCCTGGGGCAGAGGAGATTTGCCAGGGCCACTTTGTGGGAGGAGCTAACGTGCAGCAGGGCAGACTCTAGACTGGCCCCGAACTCCTGCCCCCTCTGCCTCAGTTCCCCTGTTTGCTCAAAGGAGGCGGGCTGAGCCTTTTTTTTTTTTTTTTTTATGTTAACTTATTTATTTGAAAGGCAGAGTGATGGAGAGGGGGCGGGGGAAAGAGTGAGAGCAAGAGAGTGAGAGAGAGATCTTCCATTCACTGTTTCATTCCCCAGATGGCCGCAACAGCCAGGTCTGGGCCATACCAGAGCCAGGAGCCTAGAACTCCATCTGGGTCTCCGTGAATGGCAGGGGCCCTGGTGTTTGGGCCATCCTACGCTGCTTTCCCAGGAGCATTAGCAGGGAGCTGAATCAGATTGGCACCCTGGTATGGGATGCCCATGTCACAAGTGGCAGCTTGACTCCCTGGGCCACCACCCCGGCCCCAGCTTTGAGCCCGCAGTTGGCTCTCCACGGAGCTGTCATCTGGGCTAGCTGCACAGGTGCTTCCCACCTTCCGGGGGCTCAGCCTGGTGCCGACCCAGATGGGAGGGATGTTTGGGATTCTTTGAGCGTGAAGGAGGCCTGGGCTGGGTCAGCTCTGCAGCTGGAGGCCCTGTGCCCAGGCCTGGTCCCTGGGGAGGCGAGCCTGCTGGGTCTTTGCGTGCACACACTGCGTGCTTGGCCAGCACTCTGCTCCCAGGCCCAGCCCCGCCTCCTTGGGAAAGGCTGTGGAATGCCACTTGCACCCACCGCCCTGCGAAGCCCGCTCGGGGGCCCATCTTGGTGTGGAGCTGCGGGAGGGCACGTGGAGACAGACGATGGTTCCATCCCCTGGGGCTGAGGGGAACAAGGGGTTGTGCAGGTGCACAGGGGCCCCCAAGGTGAGCAGGGCGTCCACTTGGCCTTCCAGAGCAGGGACTCTGGACGCCGAGAATGCCAGGGAGGGAGGGAGGAATCCAGTAGGGCCAGGTCCCTGGTGCACTGCTGTCCAACACGCTGGGCCTGCAGAGGTGAATGGGACCAGGCAGCCTACACCCATGGCCCTCGCAGGCTGGGGCGTCCTGGAAACCTCGAGCCGGGCAGAGCCTGGCAGAGGATGGGGAGGCACTTCCGTGTGGTCGTCCGTCTGCTTTCCTGATGCGTGTTGACTGAGCACCCGCCCAGGCGGGCAGCACTGCCCTGGGACAGGGCGCATCATCACGAGAGGGAGGCTTCCCCAGGGAAGGGAAGTCTGGGAGGCCCGGGGCAGGGGCTTGCCCTGGAAGATTGGGCAGAGCCTTTGGAGTCAAGGCTCCTGGTCCAGGTCAGGGAAGGGTGGAGTCCACGAAGTTTGCCTGATAGGATGGTGGCTCTCGGCTGCAAGGGGCCCTACCCCCGTGCACAGTGAGGAACAGCTGGAGTTGGCTGGGCGAGCAGTGCTGGCCTGGCCTGGCTGGGCAGGGGGAGGCAGAGGCAGGAGAACTGACAGACTGGAGAGAGGGTCTGCAGGCAGAGTGGCAGGTGAAGGCCCGGCCCCTTGCCTGGTGCTTGGAACGTGCCGGAAGATGGACGTGCACGGTGGCCGAATGCAGCCAGGCTTCTGTTGATCCATCCAGTGTTCCAGTAGCTTTTGGTTGCATGAAAATCCACTCTGGGTTTCTCTCACATTGGAAGCTCTGAAGCAGAGTTGTGGGGCAGTGTTTGTCTCTGGGGACTCTGCAGCCACCTCCTGGCGTGTGCCGCCTGCCTGCTCAGGCTCCTCCCAGCCCCGGCACGGCCCTGGTTTCCTGGCATGCTCTTGCCTCCTGCGTGTTACTTGGTCCAGCCTGGTCCCCTGGGCCCCTGTGTGTTGGTTTTCAGTGGGCAGGCACAACAGGTTGAGCCGTCTGTGGCTAGAAGTCCCGCTGGCAGGAGGAGTGGGCAGGGCCAGGCTAGTGGGCCTCAGAGGCCAGCCTGGCAGAGAGACTGTGGCACCAGGCCAGCTGCTGGTGGCCTTGGTGAGGCCTGAAGCTGCCCAGCCTGTGCCTGGCCTTGGGTTTGATCTTGGGTCCTGCCTTTGCTGCCAGCTGGCCACACCATTGGCAGGTGCCACCCTGCTGTGTGCCTGGCAGCCTAGCGGCTGCCCTGACTTGAGTTGATCTGACTCTGTGACGCCAGGGCCGTCCCTTGAGGCCTGTTCCTTGCCTGGAGCTGTGTGCTGGGAGCCACTGTAGCCAGGGCTTCGCAGCAGCTGCCGGCTGCATGCGAGCAGGCCCTGCCTGGGGACCCTGAGCGACACTGAGCCCTGCTGTGCAGTACCAGGGAGTCCTTGCCGTCATTCGGGGGCCCTGCCTGGGTGTTGGGATGGCCGCTGGCCAGTCTGCTCCTGGGCTTGGGAGTCTGGTGACCCACACGATGACCTTGCTGCTGCTCTCCTGCTGCTAGGAACTAGCGGTAAGATCCGCGGCAGCCAGGTTAGGCTCCTCCTCATCTCACCAGGTCCCAGTAGAGAGCCACAGAAAGGGTTAAGCAGGGGAGAAACACCAGATGTGCTTAGAAAGATACCTGGAAGCAACCAGGGGTGGGGGGCGCGGAGGGTGCTCCTTAGTGTGCCTCTCGCCTGGCAAGTGCTTTGGAGTGCAGAGACCCCAGACCTGACCCCAACTCTGCTCGGGGACCTGTCAGCCACCCTTGGCCTGTGGGTCGGTGGGGCCTGGCCGTGGTGTCTCCCCGGGGCTGTGCAGCAGACCCTGGGTCTGGGCTCAGCCTCTTTCTGCACCCAGGACTTGGAAGAGGTCTCGCATGCAGGCTCAGCACTGCCCGGCCCTCTGCCCAGCCCAGATGTCGACAGGAGGCGGCCAGCCCTTGGCCCCAGCTGTCGGCTCATTTCCATGGGGGGAGGAAGCAGCTCCAAGAGGGGACTTTCTGCCCGTTTGGTTGCTGCCTTGCTGCCCCACCACACCCAGGGAGACATTCCATCCGCCGTGCCTCTGCCGCTCGGCGCCTGTGTGTTGGGCAGGGACTTAGCCCCCAGCCTGGGTGCCCCTGCACTGTGCTGTCAGGAGGATGTGGGGAGATGGGTAAGGTAGTGTCTGTTCAGTGGCCAGCTCGGCCCTGGCACACAGTGAACACTGTAGGACACGGTCTGTCCTCCCGTCCCTGGGCTGAGTCAAGGCCGGGGGCCAGATGATGATGTCACTTACCCCTGGGGGCCAGGACGCGGAGTGCTGCCCGGAGGAGGTCCTTCCTTTTCTGGGCTCTCTTTGTCCTCACAGGGAGGGGAGCCGGCGCAGAGCACACCTGGGTCTGAGCTCAGTGCCCAGTGGGGTCAGCCTGCCTGCTTGCCCTATGGGCTGCAGCCTGCCCCGCAGCGGTGTGTGGCTGCTTGCCAGCGAGAACCAAGTGCGGCCGCTGGTTCGGGCTGGGCTGACGGAGGCCTCAAGGAGGGGAGGGCCCTGCCCAGCCAGCTCTGGGACCTGCCGTGGCAGACAGGACAGCTCCCCTCGGAGCGGAGGGTCCCAGCTGCCAGACCACGGGCGGGCTTTGGCTCTCCTGGCCCTTGCCGCGGCCTCTGCCACCCCTCACGGCTCTGGTCTTCGTGCCTCTGCTGCTGCAGTCGCTGCCTCCTCTGCTCCCGCCCCCTCTTTCTCCACCCGCTGAACGCCTGCTCGGCCAGGAGCCCCTCCAGGAAGCCTCCCTGGCCCCTTTCGGCCCTGTCAGCCCTGTGGGCCCTTCCTAGACAGGAGCGGCTGCACTGCATCTTCTGGCTCGGGCCTGGGGCTTCCTGCCGCGAGTTGGTGCTGGTGCTGCCCCGGGCCTGGGACTCTCCTCCCCTGGCTCTGACCCAGTGTGGGTGTGGGTGTGGGACTGTGTGGCGGCCACCGCCAGCTGCGGGGCCCATCGCTCCCCCCGCCCCCGCCCTGTGGCTGAGTTGTCAGCCCGTGTCAGGAGCAGCCCTCGCTTGCACCCTGGACAGCTGGGTGGCCCTGTGGGCTCAGAGACAGCGATTGAGAGGGGTCTGGGGACTGAAGGCGTGGGCCGGGTGGACCCCTCCCAGCAGGGTAGAGGCTGGGGCCTGACTCCGAGCCCTGTGTGCTCTGACAGCTGCTCAGTTCTGTGGCCGTGGGCAAGGAACGTGCCTTCACAGCCTCAGCCTCCTCTTCCATAAAATGGGGCTCCCGCGAGGGGAGGAGGGCGAGTGGCCGAGCCTCGGAGCAGGGAGCTGAGAACACAGAGCGCGAGAGGAGCTGTGCGGCCTGGCGCTCTGCGAGGGCGGAAGTCTGGGTGCTCTTCACACGCCAGGTGCCCTGCCTCCCACTGCTTCCTGTCTGAGCGGCGATGGGGGCAGCACACCTGTGGCTCCTGCTCCGCCCAGGCTCCCCCTCCCCCAGTCACTCTGTGACAGTGTCCTGGGTACTTTCTGTGTGTGGCCTGGGCTGGGCTTCAGGATTCAGTCCCTGCCCCCACAGGGCCCCCTGCTGTGGGGGAGCCACAGGAACCCAGTCAGTGCTGTGGTGACAGCCCGAGTGGTTGGGAAAGGCAGCCACAGCAGAGCGGGGCTGGGGGGTGCAGGGAGGGGCTTGTGTACCCTGAGGGTGGGAGCTGTGGAGAGGTATGGAGCTCGGATCTGTTTCAGTGATGGGCTTGGCTGCTGGCCCCCAGCTGGCAGAGAGAGCAGGTGGCTGCCCGCCTCTGGGGTCACGGATTGGCTCAGAACTGAACTCGACGCGAGCTCTGCCGTGGAGCACCGCCGTGGAGCACCCACGAGCCGCTGGGCTAAGCTGGCTGGGCCACAGCAGGGGGATGCTCTTGGTATCCAGGGAGACGCTTTGGGGAGGGGGCCGCGTGGGGTTGTCCTGTGAGGAAAGGCTGTATCTGCAGGGAGTCAGGGCCTGTGTGCATCCGCCCCGTGGCCGCTGGTGTCGTGGGTGTGTCCTCCCCAGGAGCGTGTGCGCGTGCCGGTCTGTGTGCCGGGAAGAAGCGTGGCGATGGCACCGTCCTGGTGGTGCTGGACGGGGTGACAGTCCTCCCGACAAAGGGCACCTCTCTGGGTGCCTGGGAGCCCAGAAGAGGCCTTGGCTGCTTTCCTGGGACTTTCTGCCAAGGGACCCTGGAGGGGCCTGGCCCCAGGAGCACCACTCTTGTTTTCAGGGCCAAAGCTCCTCTCAGCAGCTGCCCGTCCTCTCTGGCTGGCTGTTTCCCTCCTGCCTCTGTGGCCCGCTGTGGGGCTTGGGAGTGCAGAGGGAGGAAGGCTCCTGAGGCTGGCTGACCGTGATCTCTCTAGCCTTGCTTCCCTCCTCTGTGAAATGGGGTCATGCGCTTCCCCATGGTGCTTGAATGAGATGGGTGTGTGCCTGTCGTAGCCCCTGGTGTGGAGTGGGCTGGCAGTGGTCGCTGTGCGTCCAGGGCGGCGACTGGAGGGACCCAGGGAGGATGAGAGGAAAGAGGTGCGTTCCTCCATTCTCCCGTCCAGCAAATCTCTGTGAGTGGAGCCCGGCCATGGCCCTGACCTGGGACCACGGAAAGAAGCGCAGAGCATGGCTCAGGGAGGGGGGGCGTCTCTACTCAGCTGGCCCTGGCCCTACCCTCTCTCTGGGTGGGCCTTGGGCTCACATGCCCCATTGCAGCTCCAGGAGCAGGCCTCCCTCTGGGGGGTGTGGCAGCTGAAGAGGACTCCCACGGCACAGCTGGGCCTGAGCGAGGCTGTCCATGCCCGTGCTGGACACAGGCAAGACCAAGGCCTGGCCAACTGGAGGTACCCCAGGGTCCTACTCAGGCCCCGCTCATAATAAACACTCAGTGAACTCGTGTGGATTGGCCCAGGGCCGATCCATGAGTCTGCAGAGAATCAGGTGTCCGGGGAGGAGGTGGAGACCAGTGGGTCAGGGCCTTGTGGTCCTGGGAATTTCTGGGCCTTCCTCCTGCGGTTGGAGTCCTGGGAGCTGCTGAAGTCAGCTGGAAAAACGGGTCCGAGGGTGTGCCGTGCTGTGAGGAAAAGTTACCACCATCCAACTCAGAGGTCCGTGATGCTGTGTGGACCAGTAGGAACACAGGGAGATGCAGGCAGTGATGGCGGTGAGCCCCGGCCCCCGGACTCTGCAGAGGGTGAGACCCAGCCACGGCCAGGGGCTGCCGGCAGGGCTGTGAAAGGCACTCACTGAGTCACAGCGCACTCAGTAAGCGCCTGCTGTGTGCCCGGCGCCACCCTTGGGGAACAGCAGTGAGCAGAGCAGCAGCGCCCGCCGTGTCCGAAGAGCCTTGCTCTGTGCTCACCGTGCGTACTGGGGCCCCAGGCCCAGGAGAGGAAGGTGGCTGGGGGCCGGGGGTCCCGAGGGCGGGGCATCCTCATGACTCGAATCCAGCCATTCGTGGCACTGGACCGGGATGGGGATCCTCCTTCCTCCGACCTTCCTCCTTGTGAATCAAACACCACCCGGGCATGAGTCAGCCAGGAGAGGCCCGGACATGCCTGGGCTGTCTGCCAGCCCACCTCCCTGGACGTTCCAACCAGGTTCAAGGCCTGATCCACGGTCCTGGATCCAGGGAGGGGAAAGGGGGCCTAGGCCAGGGACTCTGCGTGCCTGGCCTCCTGCTGGACCACCTGCCTCAGAGCGGAGCGGAACTTCAGGCCCCACCACCTCCCACCCCCAGGTACTTACTTCTGAAGGTCTAGTTCCTGCCCCCCTTTCGCTGTGAGTGCCAGGCTCTGTAGCATCCTGAGAGACAGGGACAGGGCAGTGACTGAATCAGAGTAGCCAGTAGGTAGCAGAGTGTGGCCTTGAACCCCGGTCTGTGCGTGAGCTGCCCTGCTGGGTGCTGCTGGGCGCAGGAAGGGAAGTCCCCTGAGCAGAGTGGGCCCTGCAGCCCTGTGTGTGTTTGCAGTTGTGGGTCCTGAGGGAGGAAGCTGCTAGCACAGCCCAGCCTCACACCCACTGTGTCTTCTTGCTTTGAGTTTCTGTGGCCTCTGGCCTGGCGTAGGGGCCCAGCTTGGGCCTCAGTTTCCTTACCTGTGACGTGGGGGTGATGGTGGGCAGCTCCCAGGGTTGGGCTGTGTATCACAGCGGGTCACGTAGGTGACACTCTTGGCACCTGATGCGTGCATACGTAGCGGATGCTCTGGAGGTGGGAAGCTGACCTTGGGGGTGTCGTGGGAGGGGGTTGCTTGCTGGGGAACGTTTTTCCCACTTCTCCCCCGACCCTGGATTGACCTGACTTGGTCCCTGACACCGGCGAGTTTTGGTGAGTTTGGCCCCACGCTCAAGCCTGGCCTCGAAGCTGCCTCCTCGGTGAGTGGGGACTTGCTGTGAGGTATCAGTCACCAGGGTCACCGGCCCGTGACGCATGAACACCACGATCCCCTGAGAACGCTGTGCCATGCTGGCAGAGTTCCCAGGGATCCTGCCGGGTGGGGCCCGGGAGTGAGACCACCCTCGGCCCCCGTGTGACCTGCGGCACATGTGGGACTCCCTGAGCGACAGTTTCCTGATCTGTGAAGTGGAAACAGGAAGTGAATGTTTTGGGAATCATCAGGCGCGTGGGAGTGTGCCGGGGAAACAGGAGCCGGGCTGGGCTGCCCTGGGTGGCGGGGCCCCTCTGCTCGGGTGCTTGGGTTTGGCCGAGCCAGCGTCCGCTCTCCTGGGCCGTGAGAGCAAGGGGCCCCTCGCTGTCACTGAGGGCCGCTCTCTCGGGGCTGTGCCTGGGAGGAGCCTGAGCTGCCTTCAGACCCGACTGCAGAAGGCAGAGCAGGGCGGCCATACCTGTGTCTGTGAAACTGGGGCGCAGGCGCCGCCCGTTCTGGGGTTTTTGGAAGGTTCTTTCAAGGTTACATGGCTGGTGAGGGCAGGATCCAAACGCAGGTGCATTAACTCCAGAGCTTTACTTCTAGCCCTGCCGCTTCCCCCAGCAAGCCCGAGTGACCGGCTGCCTCCCCACCCTCCCATCTCAGAGTTTCCAAAGCCCTGGCCAGCTGTCCCCTCTGCTTGCTTGGGCACTGGCTGACCCAGTCCCTGGGCCACCCCAGGCTCTCACTGCTGCGGTGGCCCCTTGGAGAGCTCCAGCATCGGTCACCCAGTGGCTTGTCTTCTAGGAACTTCTTGCTGCCTCATCGTGGGAGGAGGGGCGGGCCTGCCACAGCTGGAACGAGCCGCTTCCCCTGCACGCGGCCCTGAACTCCTGGCCGCGCCAGACGCTGCTGGGCTGCCACGTTGGCTCTTCCGCCCCGAGCCCCTGGCTGGGCGCCTTGGCAGGTCCCCGGGGCGGGCCCCTCCCCAGGCGGCTGCACTGTCTTCTCTCCGGGGAAGCACTGGCAGATGTTGTCGATTTAAATTGTTTCCTTATTAGACTCTCACTCTCCGGCCTGGGCTGCGTTCATCAGCCGGGAGCCTCGATTGCATCCCTGTGACTGACCACTCGCTCCTCCAGAGCCTGGCCAAGGCCTGGGAGATCTGGCCCTCCAGGAGCTGGCGTGGCCGGGCAGGGGCAGACTGGACGGCGGGGAGGGCCTTCTGCCACGGAGCCCTCCTGTCCCAGGGTTTGAGTGAGGAACCCTAGAGCACATGGCGTCAGAGCTCGGCCAGCCCTCGGCCAGTGCTTCCTCGGCTGTGACTTCCCAGCCTCCTGCGTCAGAACAACCTGGTTCCTGCCAAGGCCCACACGGCGGTTCTCAACCCGAGACGCTTTGGTGGGATCTGGAGACGAAGTAGGTCACCACCCCGGGGCTGTCCTACCGGCAGGATGAGGCTGCACTTCCCCCGCCCCAGCAGCCCCTCCCCTCCCCTCCACGAGAAACGCCGTGCTTAGTCTGTGGTTCACAAGTGTTTGTTCGTGAGGCTGGCTGCTGCCCGCCAGGCCGGGGGTCCGGGCTGGGCACACTGTGGACGGACAGGTGCTGCTGCGAACGGGACGGTCGCAGGTCACACTGGGGGCTGTACCGTGGCTCCACCCTGGCTGCCTGCCTCCCTAGGACCCAGGGTTCCCTTTCTTTATCTTTCTGCTGGGTGACAGTGCCAGCTGTGCCCATACCTTGGCTCTGGTTCTGGGAGGAGGCCCCATGGGCCTGCAGGTTCCTGGCAGCCTATGGCCAGGAAGTGACTCCCACAGCCCTAACCCCTTGTCACCTGCGTATAAGAGACCCAGGGCTGGGCTCTGGGGTCTGGTGTCTGTACTTACTAGTGGGCAGTGCCGCTGGCCTAGGCCAGGTGCTGGGGGGAAGGAGCGGTGAGCTGACTGTGGAGCCTAGACAGACTCCTGCTGGAAGCGAATTTCGCTGTCCAAGAGGCCAAAGGAAGCACCGTGCATGGCCTTCAAGGCCTCTTTGGTTGCCAGGAGCCTGCTAGGCTGTGTCCTCGACCAGGGTGGCCACTTACCAAGGGTGCTGCCCTGCTGCTCTGGGGCTCTGGGCCCCTGTCTGCTTGTTGAGGAAATGGGCGTGGCCAGGTGCTGGGGCACCTGTGACCGCCCCAGGAGCTGTTCTGACTGCTGAGTAGTGAGATGAGCCCATGCCCAGCAGCAGGCCCTGAGGGAGGACACAGCGCTGGCCCCGTACTGCCCCGTTCTGCCCAGCTCCGGGGAAACCAGGCTGACACAGAGGAGATGCGATCCTGTCCTTGAGGTGTGCTGTGAGCACACCAGGGGTAGGCACATGGCCCTCGGCTTCCCCAGGTGCCTCAGTACCCCGTCCTGGTCAGCTCAGCCCCCCGCAGCTTCTCGGCCTTTCTTGGGGCCCTCTGCTTCCTTCCTTCTGACTCCTCCCCTGGATGGCTCCGCTACCACAACACCCTCCTCCTGCGCTCCTAGCTCTGACATCACTGCCCCCTGCCCACCCCCACTAGGGGGCCCTTCCAGGAGGTTTGCTCGCACTTCCTGTGACCCTGAGCCAGCGCCCAGACCCTGGCTGTATCATGATGGCCTGTCTGGGCCAGGCCAGAGGGTGGCCCCAGCACTGGGCTGGCCTTGCTGGGGTGAGGAGGAGCCCAGCCTAGTTGGGGGGAGTGGCCCGCTGTATTTCAGGGCTGCATGAAAATAGCTGGACTCTCCTTGGTGACAGCCACTGCGGCTGCCGTGGTAGAGGGCCTGCCCTACCTCGCTGGCTTCGCACGTCTAATTGTACATCTTGAAGCTAAAAACGGAACCCAGGCTCTGTAATTACCTGTCCCCAGCCCTGGGGAGCCAGGGGAGCACGCCCTGCAGTCCCAGGCCAGGGAGGAACGGACACGGGCGCACTCTGCCAGCAGCTCCCGTGCCCCACGGTAACCCCGCAGGCGGTGCCTGGGGAGGCCGCGGGCTGGAGCCTTGGCTTAGGGTAGCTTTTCCTGGTCGCCAGCACCTAAGCGCTCTCCTGTTTCTACTTCAATTCTGAGTATAGAGACAACTCCCACCCCCGCATCAGAGCCTCGGCGAGCCTGCCCTCGGCCTCACCCAGGGTGAGAAGCCTCCTGCCGGAACCCGGGGGTCTTGGCCTCCTGGGCACAGACTGTCGCCCCCTCTGGGCTTGAGGGTTCTGCCATCTGGCCCGGGGCCTGGCCTGTTTTCCTAGTGAACACCTTATCCACGGTTTTCTTCAGGGCTGCTCGAGTGTTGTAGATTTTCCACACTCCCCTCTTTCTGGGACGGGTGGCTCCTGGGCCTCTGGTCATCCCCCCCTCCCTGGGGTCTCGTGGTGCTGGGGTGGCCTCTGTGCTCCCCAGGGACTGTTCCCCAGAATGGCCTTCCAGCCTCTCCCCACATTGCCATCCCCAGGACTGGTAGGCCAGTTAATTCTCTTGGCTTGGCCGACTTTAAAAGAAATTAAAAAGCAACTGATACTTGGACCAGGGAGAGAAAAAAGGAGGTAATGTTTCCTCTCCCCACCCACGCGTCTCTGTCCTCCCTCCTCTGTCTCCAGGAGCCCCAGCCACCACGGGCCCTGGCGGGTGGTGACTCGGGCACCTCCCGTGTCCCCTGTGCACCTGCACGCTCGCGGCTGCCACTGTTTTATTTCAGGAGACGCGTGGTCCTGTCGGAGGTCCCCGCCCACGTCTGTCCTGTGGCCTGGGGGGCGGTCTCTGACCCTTCTTTGGGCAGCTGCCCTCGGTGCTGTTGGGCGGCCCCCGTTACACATCGGGGTTGTGCTCGTTTTTGCCCAGGTGTCACCACTCCTTTTGTGGCCACACGCACACGTGGACACCTGTGGCTGCTGGCACCTCCACACGGGCCCTTGTGAGTTTGGGCCAAGACTCCTCTCCAGCCCCCTCCCCCCGCAACTCCCTGCTCCAGCCACACCAGCCCTGTGCCCTCCTTCACCTGTGAGTGCGTGCCCGCCTCAGGGCCTTTGCACGTGCCCCGATGGCTCTTCCCCGGGTGTCCGTGTGGCTCACCCTCCCTCCCCCAGTGTTCTGTTCCCATGTCACCTTTCCATTAAGCTCTTCCCTGGCCGCCCGAGCAGTGCCTACCCCCTTCCCCACTTCCTTCTCGCAGTGCTGGGCCTTTGCCGCCTCTCAGCCGAGTGCAGCCTGCTGTCCGTGTGGTTGACCGCTGCCGTCCAGGGCGCCTTCAGCAGTTCTGGCGTGTGGAGGGGCTGAGTTAAAGGTGTTGAGAGTCAGGTCCCTGGGATGGCCTGGCCAGCTTCCAGCCCGGGGCTCCAGCTGACCGGCCGCCCCCCCTCTTAGGCGCGTCCCTCACCTGGCCCTGGCCCCAGGCCCGTGTTCATCTGCCCTCAGCTCCACCCTCTGCTCGGGACCCAGCTTCCTCTGTGGGAGCGCTGGCTGTGAGGGGAGGCGGTGTGGGCTCAGGGAAGGGGCGGGACAGCCGTGCTGCCGCGGGCGAGCTTGGCAGCGTGTGTGAGCCGTGGTGGCAGCCACCGTGGGAAGTGGCCACTGTGCTGGTATGTATTTGGCCCGGGCTGCTGCTGTGTCCTGTGGGAGCGGTGACACGGAGCAGGTGACAGTTGAGAGCCCTATGGGAACTGGAGTGCAGCCCGTGCCCATCCTCCAGCCCTGCCCTGCTCACTTCCCCAGGGGGAGGGAACCCGCCCGTCACCTGAGCCCGGGAGGGCTCCATGTGGCTGTCTCTGCCCGGCCCGGCCTAGCAGGGCGGACAGGAACCACAAATGGGCCCGGGCTTCCTGGTCGGCCATTCCCACAGCAGCCTCCGAGGGGCGGGAGGAAGCCCCAGCGCACTCTGGGCTTCTGTTCACAGACTCCCGTCCTAATCCCTGGTGTGTCAACACGCCCGGAACACACAGCTTCCTCCTCGGCTCTCCATGGCTGCTGCCGGCTCTGGGAGGGGTGGGGGGAGGGGCTGGGGGTCCACATGGACTCCACAGCCACCCCCAGTTTTCTCCCCTCTCCAGCTTTGCCCCTCTGTCTGCAGCCTCTGTGGTTGCTCGTGGCTTCTGCCTAAGTTGCAGTCCATGGAGACAGTCGAGCCCTCTCAGATCCAGCGTCCGCCCTGAGGCTCCTGAGGCCCGTAGACCCGGCCCCTGCTGCTCACCCGGCCCCTGCCCTCCGCTCTCCCCAGGTGCCTTCTGCTGGTTTTCCATTTGCCGAGTGTGTCTGCCCCCAGGCCCTTCACCTTTTCTGTCCACTCCTCCAGCGTTTTCCTTTTTTTTTTTTTTTAAGATTTATTTATTTATTTGAAAGAGTTACACAGAGGAGAGGCAGAGAGAGAGAGAGAGAGAGAGAGAGAGGTCTTCCATCCGCTGGTTCACTCCCCAAGTGGCCACAGTGGCTGGAGCTGAGCCGATTCAAAGCCAGGAGTCAGGAGCTTCTTCCAGGTCTCTCATGTGAGTGCAGGGGCCCAAGCACTTGGGCCATCCTCCACTGCTTTCCCAGGCCTCAGCAGAGAGCTGGATTGGAAGAGGAGCAGCCGGAACATGAGCCGGCACTCATGGGATGCCGGGGCCACAGGCGGAGGCTTAGCCCACCGCGCGCGGCACAGCGCCTGTCCCATCCGGCCACTCTCGCCCCAGGACTTCTCTCCACGCCTCGCTCAGATGTCAGTGCCTTGACGCCGTCCCGTCCACTCACCTGAAGCAGTGGCTATCGCCTCTTCATCCCTGCCTGGCACTCCCTGCCCTTGCTCTCCATTTTCCTGTGTATCTGTCCTCCACGTAGTTTTGAAGGCAAAAGAGGAGTCGTTTCATTGTGACAGAGGTCACCTTCCAGCCCGCACGGTGTACAGTCCAGGGGGTCGTCAGTCCATCCGCAGAGCGGCCACCATCCCCACAGTCAGTGTTTAGGACCTGTCGTTAGGCCAGAGAGGCGTCCTGTGCCGTTAACCACCCTGCCCGCCCCCGGCAGCCGCCGCCCTCCTCTGCCCTGTGGCTCTGCACGCCCTGGGCGTGTCGTGGAAACACCTGACCTAGCACAGCGCCTCTTGGAGGTTGATCACATGTGGCACCCGTGGCTGCCTGGGCTCTTGTCCGGACACTGCTCCGTGGTGTGGCTGGACCACGTTGTGTTTAGCTGGTCCCCAGCTGGTAGACATCGGGCTGCTTTTCCTTCAGGCTGCTATGGGAACTCGGATGTGTGTGGTGTGAGTTGTGGTGTTCCCCTGAGAGTGGAATTGGTGGGTCACGTGGCAGCTGTGTTTAGTGGTTTCCACACAGACACGGGTAGGTGCCTTGGGCACCCAGCTGGTCCCACGCCCTCCGCGCGGTGCACCTGCCAGGCTCTCCCAGGCCCCAGGACTGTGTGAGTGGAGATACTGGCTGAGAGTTTTGCCTTGAGTCAGACAGTCCTGGCTCCCATCCTGCTTTTTCAGCCCGTAGGAGCGTGATGGGGGTCAGGGGCGGGGGTCTCTCGGCCCCTCTGCCCTCAGCTGTAGAAGAGGCTGCCTTGAGAAGCAAACACGCTGTCATTGGGGAGGTGACCGTGGCTCCCTCCAACCTCAGCCCCAGTCTGGCGGTTAACCCGCACTCCCGGGTCACCCTGGGTTAGAGAAGTCACTTCCCGAGCTGTCCAGTTGGGTGGGATGAGCTGGGGACGAGGCCTCTCACACAGCCCCTCCCTTCCTGAGCTGTTCTGTCAGGCAGGCCGCGGGGGGCCGGGGAGCTGCTGCCCGGGATCCCACCTCCCACAGCTGCTGGGAGAGGATTGCGTAGCCTCTCACACCCACTCCAGGGCACAGCAGGCCTCGTGTTAAAGGGGCTAAAGGGTGCCGAGTTTTCCAGTGTGGTGGTGCTCCGTGCCCAGGTGGGACTTGGGGGAAGCCAGGGCCCCGCTTTGCTGTCTGAGCACCCAGAGCCAGGCTGCCTGGGATCAGCCCTGCGGTGGGCGCAGGCAAGGCTCGCGGCCCCCAGAGCCCTGGGTTCTCCAGCCGGGGTCGGGCTGCTGCGGGAGGCTGCCGTGGGCCCCCAGAGCCCTGGGTTCTCCAGCCGGGGTCGGGCTGCTGCGGGAGGCTGCCGTGGGCCCCCAGAGCCCTGGGTTCTCCAGCCGGGATCGGGCTGCTGCGGGAAGCTGCAGGGTCCATGAGGCAGGCTCTGCTGCTGGCTTTTCTGAAGCTGTAGAACAGCTCGTGGACCATGGGGCCTGGACGCCTGGCCTGCAGGACCCGTGGATGGGCGGGTCCAGCAGTGTCCAGCTACAGGCCTAGGGCACCACCCACGCCTGTCGGGAAAGCACCATGTGCGCGGTGGCTGCTGGAACTGTGATGAAGAACTAGGGTTCGGGCCCAGCCCCGCCGTTGGCTGGCTGCCTGCAGCTGGGGAGTTCGCCTGCCTCAGTCTTTTCATCTGCACAATGGGCTGATAGGAATCAGCCTGGGAGGACTCCCAGGGTCCCCGAGATGAAGGTGGAAGGAAGCACCCGAGGTCACAGCAGAGTTGGGGGAGGGGCAGTGCTGGGCGCAGAGGTTGGGGGCTCCCAGGAGGTGCCGCTGCCCCAGGCCTGCGGTCCTCCCTGACTCCCCCGTGGCTTCCGCTTCTCAGTACCTCTGCTGTGTTTTACAACCACAGAAGCACAGCTCTGTGAGAAAGCAGTCCCTTTACGTCACAGAGTGAGGCGAGAGCCCCTCTTCCCTGGTTCCTGCAGGTGCCGGGCCCCTGCCCTGTCGCTCACCCAGGGGCCCACGCACTGACCACGCCGTGCCCGTCCCCCTCTGGCCTGCAGGGAGGAGGTGCAGGAGAACTGTGTCCGGTGGCGGAAGAGGTTCACCTTCGTGTGTAAGATGAGCGCCAACCCGGCCACAGGCCTGCTGGATCCCTGCGTCTGCCGCGTGTCCGTGCGCAAGGTGAGCGGTGGCGGGTGTGGGTCCTCCCCATGTAGGATGGAGGAAGGCGCTCTGCCCCACTCCGTTCTTAAGACTGTTTGAAGTGCAGAGGACAGAGACAGGCTTCCATCCCTGGTTCACTCCCCAGATGCCCAGAACGGGGCCCGGGGCTCCCACCTGGGTGGCAGGGCCCCGTGTTCCCAGCTGCGTCAGCGGGGCGCTCAGTTGGGAGCAGAGCAGCCGGACTCGAGCTGGTGCCCGCGTGGGACGCCGGCTGCGCCGCAGGGCCGGCTCCTCTGCCCCTGTCTTGTCCTCACCAGCACTCGTATCTGGGAGGACCGGGGACACCCTGAGGTCTCTGGATTCCCTGGTCACCTTGTCGCTTGTGTCTCCCTCCCCGTGCAGGAGCTGAAAGGCGGGAAGGCTTACTCCAAGGTAAGAGGGGCCCTGAGGGGCGGCCCAGGTCAGGCAGGGCAGTAGTTTCTAGAGTGTGTGGCTTCCTCTGCCCCCGCAGGACACAGCCCTGCCTGAGCTGTATCCCTCTCTGGAAGTCTCACAAGGCAGCGTGTGCTTGTCGCCACACAGGCGGGGTCCCCAGGCGCTGCGTTCCGCGCCCTCCTCCGCCAGGCCCCCGTGGGACCCCTCCATCGGCATCGCTTAGGGATTTCCCGTCGTACACACGGAGTGGTGCTTTCGAGCGCCGTAGGAGGCGCGCCTTGTGGTTGCCCTCGTGTGCACGGGCGGGTGGTGACTTCGTAAGATGCGCAGATGCGCGATTCCTGCAGCGGGCTTTTCCCACCTGTCACGTGACGGGCGCCTCTCGTGCAGGCAGATTGCCGTGTGCACATGCTGAGGGCAGCCACGGCCCCCCCTTGCGTGGCTGGTGACAGCGCCGGCTCAGCCAGGCCCACCGTGGGTTTGCACACACACACACAGACGGCTCAGCCCACACTGTCAACCTCTTCCCCGGGTGCTGGCTGTGAGGACGCCCGCCCTGCGGAGGACAGGAAGTGCCTCAGTCTCACCTCCTGCTCCGCTGCTCTGCGGGGACGCCTGGGGCGGTGCTGCCCAGGGTGGCACCCTTCCTAGTGACCCCAGTGGCCCCAGCTCAGGCGCCGGGCTGGGCTACGCCCTCTGCCCCAGGCCATAGAGCTGTCACAGTGGAGAGCGCCCTTCCTGGTGGCTGAGGTAGGGGAAGGCGGCCGAGAGAAGCTGCCAGCAAACAGCCAGGGCCTCCCCGGCTGGCACTGACTAGCACCTAGCACACTTCAGACCCCGCTGCCCCCCACCCCCGCCACTCTGTTCTGCACGAGAGCCCCCGGCACAGGCCCTGCTGGCCCTGGACCCTGAGCAGGAAATCGAGGCCCCGGGAGGTGGCAGGCGTGGCCCGTGTCAGTTCTGGTTCTGCCAGTTAAGTCGGGTCACTTGCCCTGCCTCACCGTGAAGGGGAGGTCCCTCTGTGAGCAGGGGCGGGGCTGGGGTCCGAATCTACTCCCAGGCACCAGGAAGCATCCCGCAGGGCCCAAGCCTGGCACTCCCCACCTCTGCTGTTTCCCCTGTGAGTCTGACCAGCTTGGCTGCGTCCTGGGTTTCCTCCCTGTCCTGGCTCCTCTCCTGGACGCAGTGTCAGCAGCAGCCTGAGTCCCCGACGGCCTGTCCAGATGTCGGCTCCGCCCACCAGATCCTCACTCCCACCTCCTCCAAGGGATGACCCTGGGGTGCCCGCCTGCCCGGCCAAGTGTCCCTTCCCCTCTACTCCCGGAGCCCCCTCCGTGGGGCGTCCCCTCGCCCCTGCCCGCCATCAGGTTCCCACAGGCCTTCCCTCCTCCCCGCCTGCTCCACAGCACGGCCTTGTTTCCTGGGGAACAATGCGTCTGTGTCACAGACAACAATGTCTTTTCATGTCAGGCGTGCTGGCCCCGGTGCACACTGGGACGCGGCACAAAGGCTGCTTTGTGCGGCTCAGGGATGTGAGCTCCTGGCTTTGCCACGTTGCGACCCGGGCCTCTGTCCTTGGGTCCTGGTTATGCAACAGTCAGTCTCAGTCAGGGCTGTGGGCGGGCCCAGGAGCTTTGCCGAGTTAACCCTCTGGGGCACCTGCCAGCCCTGCACCCACGCTGTCCTCCCCCTCCCCCCAGCTGGGCTTCGCAGACTTGAACCTGGCCGAGTTTGCAGGCTCGGGCTCCACGGTGCGCTGCTGCCTCCTGGAGGGCTACGACACCAAGAACACGCGCCAGGACAACTCCATCCTCAAGGTACCCGGGACCTGCTGACCCGGCTGCTGGGGCTGACAGACGGGCTCTCACCTGCACAGGCAGTGAGAGACACTGCAGGTGTGGCCGGGCGCCTGCCTCAGTTTCCCCACCCGTGGTCGGGGTGGACGCCATCATACCGTCCGGGTTTGGCGTGCACTTCCTGCGGGATCACAGAGTGCTGAAGACTTGTCTCACCTCGTGACCCCCAGCAGCCTGAGGGGTGTGGTGTCTTAGTAGCCCCATGAGACACCTGGATCAGGTTCATGGCCTTGGGTCACGAGCAGAGCTGGCACTTACCTCCAAGCCGTTTGACTCGGTGGCCTGGCCTCACGTGACACAGGCCGCCTGGCCCCTGGCAGCAGCAGCAAGTGGAGGAACCTGCCCTCCCAGACCTGGGTGTGCATGGGCGGCTGCCCGCCCTGCTGGCCACGTGCAGGTTTCCGGTGGCGGAGGCAGCCCCCGTGCCCCAGGCAGCGGCCTCTCTGGCCTCTTGGCAGCAGAGGTGTCTGGGTGGCTACAGCCAGAACACCTCACTTCCTCTGTCTGTGTGCCCTTCCCTGGTGGGGAAAACAGGCTATGGAGACAAGACCTCTAAGCAGAAGCAGTGCAGGGCCGCAGGGCCACGGGCCCAGGGCCTCTGTGACCCTCTGCAGAGAGAACTGGAGGCACCAGAAAAGCCCAGGCCGGTGGCACTGAGCCGCAGCACCTGTCCGCCTCCCCGCGCTGGGCCCACGCACCCTTAGCCAGGCCAGACCCCGGGGCCTGTGGGTCAGGGGGTTTCGGAGGCGAGGCCGGCTGCCCTGTGTCCTGCCGCAGGGTCCTGAGCAGTTGCTTCCGCTTCCTTGTTCTCCACGTGGGGCCGGCACTGCTCTGCGGCGGCTGTCCAGGCCAAGAAGCGATGCATAGAAAGCCTCCTACCCCCCCCGCCCCCCCGGCTGCTCCGTTTCCGGTGCAGCTCCCCGGATGGCCTGGGAAGGCAGCAGAAGATGGCCCAAGTGCCTAGGCCCCTGCACCAGTAGGGAGACCCCAGATGGTGTTTCAGGCTCCTGGCTTTGGCCTGGCCCTGGCCCAGCTATTGTGGCTGAACCAGAAGATGGGAGATCTCTATCTATTTATCCCTCTTTCCTTCTTTTTTTTTTTTTTTTTTTTGACAGGCAGAGTGGACTTTTATTGAGATTTATTTGAAAGTCAGTTACACAGAGAAGGAGAGGCAGACAGAGGTCTTCCTCTGGTTCACTCCCCAGGTGGCCACAACAGCCGGAGCTGCGCCGATCTGAAGCCAGGAGCCAGGAGCTTCCTCCTGGTCTCCCATGCGAGTGCAGGGGCTCAAGCACTTGGGCCATCCTCCACTGCTTTCCCAGGCCACAGCAGAGAGCTGGATCGAAAGTGGAGCAGCCGGGACTCGAACTGGCACCCATATGGGATGCCGGCACTGCAGGTGGCAGCTTTACCCACTACGCCACAGTGCTGCCCACCCCCCTCTTTTCTTTTTAATGACATATTTATTTGAGAGAGATCTTCTGTCCCCTGGTTCACTCTTCAAATGGCTGCAATAACCAGGGCTAAGCCAGGCTGAACCCAGGAGCTAGAAACTCTGTCTTGGTCTCCCATGTGGATGACATGGTCCCAAGTGCTTGGGCCATCTGCTGCTGCCCTCCTAGGCACATTAGCAGGGAGTTGGAGGGAGGTGGAGCAGCCGGGACTCAAACTGGCACTTCATATGGGGGGCCAGTGTCTCAAGCAGTAGCTTAGTGAGTTGCACCGTGTCGGCCCCTTACAGCCGACTCTTGCTATGCACCTGTTGTGCTGGGCATAGCCAGGAGGCAGGCCTTGGGGTCACTTCCAACCTCCACGGGGGCCCAGGGCGGTCCCTCGGCAGGGGTGGGAAGGTGGCGGGGGCCGTGAGTGGCTGGTGTGGGTGGCGTGGTGGCTGATTCTCTGTCCCCCCCCCAGGTCACCATTGGCATGTTTCTGCTCTCCGGAGACCCCTGCTTCAAGACGTGAGTGCTGCTGGGCTGCAGGAGTGGGGTGGGATACAGGGCCCTCCTTCCTCCGGGCCCTGGGGCTCCCCTGTCGCCATCTGGCCCCGAGGTGGGGACGCCCCAGTCACACCCATGTGTCTTCCGAAGGCCACCGTCCACTGCCAAGTCCATCTCCATCCCGGGCCAGGACTCCTCCCTGCAGCTGACGTGTAAGGGTGGCGGGACCAGCAGTGGTGGCGGCGGCAGCAGCACCAACTCTCTGACAGGGTCCCGGCCCCACAAGGCCCGACCCACCATCCTTAGCTCAGGTACTGTTCCCCGCCTGCCCACTTCCACTGCTTCGCTGTGCGCAGGGCCTGGGGGAGAGCTCGCTGAGCAGGGGGCGGTGTGGGTTCTGTGTGCACCGGCCGATGCCGTGTGTGCGCTGTGCATGCCGGCTGCAGTGCCGGGCCCCAGGGTCCCAGCACCAACACTGAGGCAGCATCCCTGCCCCCAGGCCCCCCGGGGAGACACAGGTGTTGGTCACAGCACCAGTAAATCGTGTGCCTGTCCACCTGCAGATGTGCAAGGGCTGGGGGAGACAGCCACAAGGGGCAGAGTGTGTCTGGGGCCAGGAAGGCTTCCTGGAGGAGGGGGTGTCTGAAGTGTAGTCCGGCGTGATGTGCCCCCCACCCCCGCCCCACCCCCGGATGTCTGGGAGCTCTCACTTTCCCACTTGCCGTGTGACCTTGACCGGGCTCATGCCTCTCCAGGCCTGAGTTCTCCTCTGAGAGACGGGGTCAGTAGTAGAATCACATGCAGGGCGGCCTTGGGGCTCAGCTAAGTAACGTGTGGGCCTGCACGCGTGGGCACGTATTGCATCGCCGTTAGGAATGCTGTGCAAAGAGGGAGGGAGCCAGGGTCCCAGAGGAGACCTGTGGGCGAGTCAGGCGGTGCCACCGGCAGGGGGAGCCCTGGGCTGCCCTCAGGGTTGGTGGGACCCCCAGGCCGTATGTGGTGCTGGGTGGCGTGAAGCAGGGCCCCCAGAGCTGTGAGCTGTGGCCCACGCGCTGCTCCCCGAGGTGGGCTCAGAGCTGGTCAGCGAGCAGACCGCACGGGGGCCCTCGTGTGTGCGTGGGGGATGTGGGAGAGCGCAGGCCTCGGCGGCTCAGCCGGTGCCTGCGGTTGCTCGGTGGCTCTGCCCGCTCCGAGCAGCCTGGGGTCTGAGGGGCTCTGACACCCTAAGGCCCAGCTTCCCCAACTCCTGTCTTTGCCGCAGACCCCGGAGGCAAGACCTAGAGCAGACAGCTGGGCGCAGGGCCGCCCTGGAGCAGAGCTGCTTCCCGGCCCAGCACTCTCCAGCTGCAGCGTGGGGGTCCCATGGGGAGACCCGGCCACCCAGCGCAGCTCTCTAGTGGGGGTCCCACGGGGAGACCCAGCCACCCAGCGCAGCTCTCTAGTGGGGGTCCCACGGGGAGACCCAGCCACCCAGCGCAGCTCTCTAGTGGGGGTCCCACAGGGGAGACCCGGCCACCCAGCGCAGCTCTCTAGGGGTCTGGCTCCATGTGCAGAGGCCCTGTGTGGCTGTGGGTAGGCACAGCAGGCTCTGGGACACTCACTTCTGGAGAGGGAGGGTGTGTGCTTTGCTCCTGTGTCCAGGAGCCTGGGGCATGGGTGCTCAGCGGAGCCCTGACTGGGCCCTGCTGCTTCCCGGGGGTGCCAGGAACGTCTGCCTTGGAAGACACAGGCTGGCCGGCGCTGCGGCTCACTAGGCTAATCCTCCGCCTAGCGGCGCCGGCACACCGGGTTCTAGTCCCGGTCGGGGTGCCGGATTCTGTCCCGGTTGCCCCTCTTCCAGGCCAGCCCTCTGCTGTGGCCAGGGAGTACAGTGGAGGATGGCCCAGGTGCTTGGGCCCTGCACCCCATGGGAGACCAGGAAAAGCACCTGGCTCCTGGCTCCTGCCATTGGATCAGCGTGGTGCACTGGCCGCAGCGCACCGGCCACGGCGGCCATTGGAGGGTGAACCAACGGCAAAAGGAAGACCTTTCTCTCTGTCTCTCTCCCTCTCACTGTCCACTCTGCCTGTCAAAAAAAAAAAAAAAAAAAAGGAAGACACAGGCCACTCAGGACAGTCTCCGCCGCCCCCGCCCGACCCCGCTCCTGTTCACTTCGCTCTGGCTGCACCAAGCCGCGCTCCTTCCAGCCTCGGGCTCTTTCCTGTCCTCTCCCTCGGTCTGGAAGGCCCTCTTTCTCCTGGCCTAGCCGGCTGCCTCCCTCCCACGCGTCCCGAAGGCTGGCACGGTGTGGCACTTGCCGGGTGTCCTTCCTCTCCGCTGGCCTGTGGTGGGCGCTGTCACAGCTGCAGGATGGGTGAACGTGGGCCCCGAGGCCCGGGGAGGACAGCGTGAGGGGTGGCGGGGTGGCGGGCGCCACTGAGGAATCCCGCTCCTGCCTGCTGCCTCCCAGGGCTGCCGGAGGAGCCAGAGCAGAACCTGTCCAGCCCCGAGGAGGTGTTCCACTCTGGCCACTCCCGCAACTCCAGCTACGCCAGCCAGCAGTCCCGGATCTCTGGTGAGCAGCCGCCCCCTCCCGCCCCGGGGTCCCCGCGCCCTTGTGCCCCTCCCCCAGGCTGTCCATGACCTTGGCCCCCAGGCTACAGCACGGAGCACTCGCGCTCCTCCAGCCTCTCGGACCTGACGCACCGCCGCAACACGTCCACCAGCAGCAGTGCCTCGGGCGGCCTCGGCATGACCGTGGAGGGCCCCGAGGGCAGCGAGCGGGAGCACCGGCCCTCCGAGAAGCCGCCGCGGCCCCCGCGGCCCCTGCACCTGTCAGACCGCTCGTTCCGGTGAGTCCTGTGCTCCCTGGCCCCGGACCCCTCCCTGGGGCTCTCCGAGCCCTCACCTGGCACCCGGGGCACGGTGGCTGGCATGGGCTGGGCACGGTGCTGCTGCTGCTGAGCGCTGAGTGCCTGGAGCAGCCCGCTGGCCTCACGGTACTGGGGATGCGCCGGGGGCACGCGCCGCGGGCTTGCCGCTCGGACCACCCTCGTCCCGCACGGGCCCGGTCCTGCTCTGACTGTGCTGCCCCTGCCCCTGCCCCTGCCCACCAGGCGGAAGAAGGACTCGGTGGAGAGCCACCCGACCTGGGTGGATGACACGCGCATCGACGCTGACGACATCGTGGAGAAGATCGTGCAGAGCCAGGACTTCACCGACGGCAGCAACGCCGAGGGTGAGTGCTGCCCGGGCCGGCGCCGGGGGCTGGGCTGCCCGGGCCCCCGCTCAGCCCGCGTCCTCCTCTGTCCCCACAGACAGCAACCTCCGGCTGTTCGTGAGCCGGGACGGCTCCACCACGCTGAGTGGCGTCCAGCTGGCCAACAGGTGAGGGGTGCAGGCCGGGGGCGGGGGAAGGCCCTGCAGCCCCCAGCCGGCTCTGAACACCAGCTCTTGTCACCGCAGCCTCGCTGGGGCCAGTCACGTCTCGCTCAGCCTGTTTGCCCGTCTGTCGAGTGGTGTGGGCAACACCCACCTCCCCTGGGAACCCGGGACAAGGGCTTCAGGGCCGGGCATGGCGCTCCAGACTCCTGTGTCAGCTGGGAAAGCGCCTGGCTCTGCACTTGACAGCACCAGGGCTCACCAGCTGCTCATTTGGGCCCTCACTGTCCTTTCCCGGTGGTGGTGCTGGCTCATTGGTGACTGAGCACCGCCTGTGCTCCAGGCACCGGGGCGCGGGCCGGGCACAGCCATCAGCCACACGGTTTCTGCCCGCGGGACTCTCACAGCAGGGGCGTGTTAGGGTCAGGCTTTGGCTGGTATGCTACAGTTTGCAGCCTTCTCAAAAGGTTGGTGCGCAATGTCCCAGCTGCACCTGGCACACCACATCCTTGTCTCACGTGACCTGGGTACAG